ACAGTATCCTTGGGTACTGCATGTAGTATTTTTTTTTATAGGACAATATAATAACTATTTAATCAACCAAGTGGAGGCATTAAATAATTAGACAATTTCCAGCACCAAGTGCCTTGCCAACTGGGAGGTAATGGATATGTGACCTACTCGAAACAAGAGGCTTGCAGGTCAAGTTTTCAATATAAGTAGAAAAATCTCATAATTACATAAACAGGTCAATAACATATCCAGAGACTAGTGACTTTACCCTGACCTCAGGTATTAAAGTACAGTAGTCATCATAGAGGGTCAGTAGATGTTGGACTAATGGTGTATCAAGTATAATCCACATAGGCTTGGCCCTATCTTGAGATGGTCCTGGGTTGGCTTGGTTAACCTGGTTGATACCTGGTAGATGGGGTTCTGGGAGTTGTTCTACTCCCCAAGCCCGGCCCGAGGCCAGACTTGACTTGTGAGAGTTTGGTCCACCAGGCTGTTGCTTGGAGCAGCCCTCAGGCCCATATACCCATCAGACTGGTTGGTCTGGCACTCCTTGAAGAAAAGAATCGTCTAATTTCCTCTTGAAGATGTCCACGGTTGTTCCTGCAATATTTCTGACGCTCGCTGGTAGGATGTTGAACAACCGTGGACCTCTGATGTTCATAAGTGTTCTCTGATTGTGCCTATGGCACCTCTGCTCTTCACTGGTTCTATTCTGCATTTTCTTCCATGTCGTTCACTCCAGTACGTTGTTATTTTACTGTGCAGATTTGGGACCTGTCCCTCCAGTATTTTCCATGTGTATATTATTTGGCATCTCTCTTGTCTCCTTTCTGGTGAGTACATTTGGAGAGCTTTGAGACGATCCCAATAATTTAGGCGCTTTATCTCGTCTATGCGTGCCATATATGTTCTCTGTATTCCCTCTATTTCAGCAATCTCTCCTGCTCTGAAGGGGGAAGTGAGTACTGAGCAGTACTTAAGACAGGAAAACACAAGTGATTTGAAGAGTACAACCATTGTGATGGGATCTCTGGACTTGAAGGTTCTCGTAATCCATCCAATCATTTTTCTGGCTTACGCAATACTTGCTTGGTTATGCTCCCTAAACGTTAGGTCGTCGTATATCATAATTCCCAAATCCTTGACATGCTGTTTTCCTACTATGGGCAGATTTGATTGTGTTTTGTACCCTGTATTATGTTTCAGATCCTCATATTTGCCGTACCTGAGTACCTGGAATTTATCACCGTTAAACATGTTATTTTCTGCTGCCCAATCGAAAACTTTGTTTATATCTGTTTGTAGTTTATCAATGTCTTCAGCAGAGGTAATTTTCATGCTGATTTTTGTATCATCTGCAAAGGATGACATGAAGCTGTGACTTGTGTTTTTGTCTACTGTATATCTGATATGAGAATAAGGAACAGCAGTGGTGCAAGGACTGTACCTTGAGGTACAGAGCTTTTAACTGCGCTCGGACTTGATTGTATTTGATTGACTGTTACTCTGTGTTCTGTTCGACAGGAAATTGAGTATCCAGCGTCCTACTTTACCAGTTATACCCATTGACCTCATTTTGTGTGCAATCACTCCATTGTCACATTGGTCGAATGCCTTTTCAAAATCTGTGTATACGACATCTGCATTGTTTTTCTTTTAATGCCTCGGTAATTTTGTCATAGTGGTCAAGTAGCTGTGAGAGGCATGATCTTCCTGCTCTAAATCCATGTTGGCCTGGATTGTGGAGGTCATTGGTTTCCATGATTCTAGTGACCTGACTCCTGATCACTTTCAAATACTTTTATTAAATAAATACTTGTTTTATTAAGGTAAATACAAAGCAATACAATACAATAGCAATACATTATACAATACAAAGCAATACATTGTACAAAGATGCACAACAATTTCTGATAATAACAAGGTTGGTTAATGGAAAATGTGGAATGAAAATTTCCACTCATCTGTAGTAGAGGGGCTGGTCCCAAATCTGCACACAGAAATAACATCACATGAGACCAGGAGGCATGGCAGGATGTGCAAAATACCCCCTTTGATGAGCAGAGATGAAATAGGTACTCTGAGAGAGAAATCTATCAACATCAGAGGCCCAAGACTGTTAAACACACACACACACTGGGGGGTTGTCCCCCCCATGTGCTGCTCTTGGGGGGGGGGGAAGGTTGTTCCCCCATGGGCTTCTCTGGGGGGGGGGTGGGTGCCACCCCTCGTGCTGTCGCTTGGGGGTTGTCCCCACGCGCTGCTAATGTTTACCTTGGAAGTCGAACTGCATCGACATCTTCAGGACATGCAACTTAATTAAAACGGCTGGTGCAGTATCCTCCTCCTTATTAGTGAATCCTCTACCAAATTTTTATTAGTGTGTTGCTGGGTAGTAAATCATATTTTGTTGCGGCCTATGCCTCCAAAGTCTAGAAAATTGCTATTATTCCCGAAGAACTTTATTTCGTGACCAGTATCAGCCAGGCCTTAGAGCATAAGCACAGCTGGTAGGTCATCGGTGACTTCACAATGGTAGCAGTCCTGATGGGTCTGCTAGGCAGTTTTACCAAGTCTGATGCACTAGATCAGCTGGAATACAAAAGACGCACAACCACAGACGGGACCAGACACAGTTGACAGTCTTCTCGGAGGAGAAACAACGTAAAGTGGGAGCCACTGATCGACCCCGGAAGATGCTGATGCCACCACTGTACACCACATTGGTCCAATTACCATGAAGCTCACTAGGAAGGAGAAAGTGACTTGGAACAGCTATATCTCGGTGATTTGAGGCTTCCTGAGCATTCACAAGACCGAACACGATGTGAAGCTGTAGAGACTGGTGAACAACTACGATACAATGGGCTGCAGGATGTCCCCCAAGTCCGTCTTTGATGCGCCTCTTGATAAATTCAAGTGCTCTCGAAGGAGAAAGGCGAGCACTTCCACTAGGATATACTGGATTTTGAACTATCCGACATGGATCCTGAAATTTTGCATCTCAACAATGAAAGTGTTGTGTGGGCTAAGAGGAACATTGTTCGTAGTACAAAACAGTCAGATTGTTGCCTTGTTAAAGGGTGAGGCTCCATAAATACTCTTCTGTACAGGATTTTGATGCAGGAAAGTGGTAAAATATAACGAGGCACCTACATTATGCATGAAGTGCTCACGTTGGGGACTTAAGGTTAGTATAACGAACATGATGGGAGACGACTTTTAGGGGCTGATACACGGAAAAATATTTACAGCACAATTGTAAATATCAAAAAATTACTTATTTATAAATATCATTTGTATGACGTCAGTAGAAATAACATTAATTAAAAAAAAATCTGTGAATGGAAAAACTGCAAATTCGCCTGAATTTTAATTGATGTGTAATTTTCAAAATATTACAGATCTTTTAATAAAAGCAAAGTGTGAGGGGAAATAATAGCCGTTTATTATACTTTTTAGGCACAGCCAATTAGGAAATAACTTATTATCAGGTAAACAAATTGGATTACATTATGTAATATTATAAAAGCATCTATTTGCAAACTGAGCATCCGTAATTTATTTAGAATAAATAGGCATGCACAAATTAAAACCTCTGCAATATGTAAGGATTCATTGTGTACATTTAATGATGCAGTGTTCACCACTCCATTTACACTGCAATGTTAGCTTGCGGGGGTTATCGGACAGGTGGTGGGGCATTTCTGATGGTGACTTCATTGTATCGACACGTGCATATTATTTCGGTGGTGGTGCTTCCCACACGTGGCGGTGGGCGTAGACATGTATGAGGTGCGCAGGCGGGACCGGTGGTGGTGATAGCTGGATCCTCCACGGGGGCGGGGTCTCCCTGCTCAAGGGCACCATGCTCCTTCACAGCCTCCTGTTCATTGCAACTCTTGAAAACGAAAGTTTTGTGAGGTTTGTTAATTTCAAAGTAGGCTAGATATATTTTTATTTGTTTAATTGGTTCGTCGAGGTTGCTGTTAAGTGATTATCTGGTCATTGTGTATTTTGTCGAAAATTTAGTATATCCATGTGGCTCAATGTTGTAGGGAGATTGAAGGGTATTGACCATTGTTAGTAAGTAGTGGCATGGGCACTTCACGAGGCTTCATGAGGCTAACAGGTTGCAGGTGAGGTGTCGTGTGACTAGACTAGCAAAAGTTGCCTTCCGCACCACACGTTTTAATAATTGGCATATGCTTATTTGTATTTTCGCTAATTACTGATGAATATGGGGAGTTGCGGCTGGCGCTGGAAGAAAGGTAACATGACTGGTGTGAGTTCCAGGCATGACTCACCACCGGCTGGCCTCAGCCATCACCACCACAGCAATCTAGGCTGCTGCCACCGCCACTCTCCTCCCCCGAGCTGCTCCTCCCTCTCCATGCTGCTACACACCACGGAGGGCCCCATGTAGTTCCAGTGTCACCCACGAACACACAGGTGTCGTCTCTAGCCTAATATTCACCCGGTTTTGGAATAGCGGTATCCATTCCGCACGCGCGGGTGGTCAGCCACTACCGGTATTTTCCCCCTTTAAGCCATACACTTGTGTTCCATATTTTGTTTGTTTACATGTGGTTATCCTTGTACTTATTTTAGATTTCCTTATTTAGGTTGGGAATTTAGCACGTCCTGTAGTGTTGTCTTTGTTTTCCCAAATTACATGTTCACCTCTCACCCCTGACATCTGACCTCTCGCCCCCTGACTTCTGATCTCTCGCCTCGTCTGTTTACATTTACCCCCGTATTAATTACTCAATGCTCAACCGCTCCACCCCTTTCCCCCCATCCCTCCCGTCCGGCCTGACGGCAGCTCACGTGCCGGCGGCACCACCACCAGCTGGCAGTTCCTAGACCAGTCCTGCTGCAGTCACGGAAACTACGCTGTTGGTTGCGGCGTCCTTGTCGAGCCCTTCTAGTGTGGCGTGCTCTGGGTAATGATCGTACGCGTCATGCAGATACACGTGAAGACAGCATTGAGAAGGTAGTCAGTTCAGTAAGAGACTCCTGCGTGCCTTGGCAGGGACGCTTGTTATCACTCGTGTTCGGTAGCGGTGTTCTAGGCTACATGTATTAAGTAATAAGATGGGTAACTCTTCAAGTAAAGACGCTAAGAAAAAAGGAAACACCAAAGAGCCTAAAGATAGTGGTTCTGTTGAAGAAACTCCCATGCCCACGCAAGGTGTGCCACCCACGGCCTTGCCCACACTTCAAGCTGACCTCACGTCGTATTCCTCGACGCCATCCTGTCCCCTGTGGAAAAAGTGTAAAAGCAAGCATCCGGCATCACAACCCACTCCAACGACCACGCCCACTGCTTCGCCTCAAATGAAAAACAAGTTAATTTACATTCCCATAAATACACCAGAAATGAAGAAAAAAATGAAATGGACTCCTACAAACACGTCCAAAACGAAAAGTAAGTTGAAATTACTGCCAATTTAAAAAAAATACTTACCCAGACCATGTCACTGAAGTGGTCCGAAACTGAACCATAAGAGGTCATAAAGTATAAGTATTTATCAAAATAATCAATAATACGCTTAACCAGTATGACTTTAAAGTACTCATTTTAATTCTGCCGATGAAACTTTATTTTGTAAACATGTTTATACCGATGACTAACTTGTTTGGATGAAGAGAAAGGGCTGCGACTTGGGCAAGGTGATCTGTCGGTGTATCTATGCCTGTGGATTCTCTCCTGCCAGGTTCCCTACTTATTATCACCACCACTTTGATAGGTTTTAATTTGGATTCGTCTGTGTCCGCTCCATTTTCTAGTAAATGTATGATAATATACGAGGTTAAGGAAAATGTACTGCCCTGACCTTGCACACGGCGGGGGGGGGGGGTCAGTTTCATTTATAATTATATTAAAAGTTGAAGTATAAAAGTTTTACCTTTGCTTAAATTGTCTACGTACACTGGCAGTTTTATGTGCCGTTTACATTTGTTATGGATACCTCTTAGTTTTTTTGTACTCGCCGCTGCGTTCCTGCGACATCCATTTATGGTGAGACAAATCCACCTCCATTACTGACTCATCAGCCAAACGAGGTCACGGTCTTGTCCGCTTCAGGGAAGGTGGTGGTTCCTCGCTCGTCCCTCGTATCTGCCATCTATCTCAACCTTCTTCCAGATGTGATGAAAACTGTTGATCTGGAGCTTGCTATGTTTTATAAAGAAAATATTTTCAGACATTAACTTCTAAATTGAACAAGACAATGAATTTAAAATAATTGAAATAAGATAACTACATTTGTTAGAAATCTGAGAGGAGATTGACTAGGACTGGACCCACAGACGACCTTGGAAGGCAGCACTAGGAAAAAATAATAATGGTAGTCATGTTTTCTCTTATACGATGAGTCTAACACCCGGAAGTTCGCTTGGATAAGATCATATCCATAGTTAAATACAAAACTGTAATGCAAACTTTGCTTTGATAATTAATTTGGCGTTATAACTGACTTGACTACTGTACATTGTTGACTTGAATGACAGACTTGTCGCAGTTTCCTGTTTGGATACCGCTACCTAGTGGCCGCCACCCGCTGGAAGAGGGGCTTTGAGGTGGCATTGTTATAAACGTTATGCTGGCATTGGAGTATCAATTCTCGCCCCCTTGATACTGCTTGCTCCACGAAGGGAATTTAAGCTTGGCAAATTTGTGCTGTTCAGTAGCAAGGATGAGGTTGGCACGTTCATGAATGTAAGGCTTGATACAGGTGTGAATGGCGGGGAGAGTGAGGGCGGCCATCGCTGTCAGACAATGAAGCCATAAATCATGGTGGTGGGCAGTCTGGCTCAGCTGACCCCCGCCCTGCCTGTTACCTCCAGGCATGCTGCCACCATATTGCCTATTTATTACGCACCTGTCAAGATTACGGTCATACAAATGTTACGTATGAACGCACATGGAAAAACTTCATTTGAATGTGTAATTTTCTTCTCCATGTTCAACTAAGTTTCTAATACTAGCCTATTTTTTATTTAATAGTCAATAGGATAGACAGTTTTAACTTTCAAGCATTGTCCACTTAAACATAAAAGATGATTGCAGTTGCTCATATAGGGTGAAGGGGCGTCATGGATGGGAGGACTCGCCGGAATTCATAGGCAGTTGACTACTGTAAATGGCACTGAGGGTAATTAGATTTACTGAATCAGAGTTGCCTTGCCGCCCCTTGCCTTGTCTTGCCAACCCTCTTCTGGGTAGGCCCTAGTGGGAAAGTTTGATTTTGTCTGGAGATTATAACTATTAAATGCTGTATTTGTTGTATTACCAGATACGAACTGCATAAGAATGAACAAATAAATAACTTATCAATTGAACTAGGCTACGAACTTCTCTCGAGCGTGTAGGACAACCTCATATTAATGTACAAATAATTTGTGCAAAGATCAACTTGGGTAAAGTACTGTACTGGGAATTTGGACATTATAAAGGTAGGGATGATTTTTATGACCTAAAGTGGTTTAAACACATTTCCTCAAAACTGGCCTTTTCGTGCATTTTAAACAGGGAAACTGCATTAACACTGGTGTAATGTAAGTATAATATTGCTTGCATAATTTTCAAACAACCTTCACCCACTCATTACCAGGAAGGGAGAGCGGCCGCCGTCTGCAAAATCTTGTTTGGGATGTAATCTCAATCTTGTGTTGATTCCCTTGGGGGGGGGGGGGGTCAAGGTCCCCGCGTCCCGGTCTCTGACCAGGCCTCGGGTTAATGGTCTGGTCAACCAGGCTGTTGGACGCGGCTGCTTGCAGCCTGACGTATGAATTGGTACCCTGGTAATGTCTTAGTTACTGTACTTGGGTTTGATTACAACTTTTGTTTCAGCCATACACATTGTGCCTTCTGGACAAAGCAACTGTCTGGGGGGGGGGGGGTGGCGCCTGTTTCTCAGATGTCGGTCAGCAGATACAATACTGCCTAACTTTCTAATTTCCTTCATTTAAATTTAAATCTATTTCAGGTATTAACCTCTGCTAACTCGCTTTAACCCATTTGCTCACTATAGTACTAGTTTATCTTAGTTTCCACCTATGGACTCTTGTTCTATTGCACTTGTTGGCTAAACAATTCGTCCTATGCACTTAGTCAATACCCCATCAGGATCTTGTAAATCATAATCATGCCTCTTTCAGGCTGGCTTGGCAAGCTCCAGTTCCCTTGGCTTCCACATACTCGTTCAACGTTCTGGATTCTGTCTTATGACATACTAAAATTCACACGAGCTTAAAAGGAATTACTAGAGAAATAAGAAAACGGATCTTTAATTTCCTAATTATTAACAACCAAATGTAATAATCAAAGTAAAATCCGGATCATCCACCATGAAAAGGTCAGTCCCCCCCAGGGTACCGTGCTTGCTTCAATACTTTTTCTCATTCTCTGTGGAAGTGAGAGTGGGTGGGTGTGTTGGTGGTGGTGATGTAGATAGGATGCATTTGATGGGAAAGAGGGTAAATTGTAGAGGGACAAGGTTTTATGTACGGTGGAGGGGAATGAGTGGGAGTGGTTGGGGGGGGAGGGGGCGTTAGTGCTATTCATGGAATATTGCACGTAATGATTGTTGATTTTTTACCGAGTTGTAGGAGAGGGGGAGGCACTCCCACTGTTCATCTGGCATGCACATAGATTGTTCGACCTAGATGTGTGTAACAGGATGCTAGTGCCTTGGCTTCGACATTCCTTTTCCTAATCTATTAAAAATTTAATTTCTCGTGACTTCCCATGAAACTTTCAATGTTTTGTTATTTTGCTTCAATGTTCTCTTGCAGTCTTGTTTTACTTGTAATTCCTAAAACAGGAGTGGAGCTGTGCAATCGCAAATGCAGAAACAAACCAAAAAATGTAGCCCTTGAAGATATGTTAGATGACTAGGAGACTGAAACTAAGCAGGAAATGTAAGAGACTACCGGCCGGCCTCAGAGTTATAGGGTGGAATTACAGATAAATAGTTCGGTTGCAATAGACATGCTATTCCCTATTTTCATTATGTTCGTTATATTTGGTGCCAACGACCGCGTTGTTGTGGCCCAAGCGAGATTTGGCAATTTATCGCCGCCACTGCCATTACCTTGTACGTACGGTATTAGGTAACACTACTTCATTCCCTGTACTTAATCGTTTTTCTCATATCATGAGATTTGATGGACTTGGAGAACTCATCACAACTGCGATCAAAACTTGTGTAAGTGGAGTTTTGCATATATTTAGGTGGAAGTTTGGTTAGATAATGCGGTGGCAAGTTAAGTTTCATTGTTAAACGATAAACACGACACACACCATGCATGCGTTCAGTATCATTGTATAGCCTAGTAGTGAGCAATAGTCCGAATCGAACAATAGTGGTTTCAGTTAAAATTACCCGAGGTATAATCATGGCTATGAGACAAACTAAATTTGTTAGTTGTAGTAATGAATGCATAGTCTTCTAAAATAGTTTGCTTGATCGGGCTTGCCGCTGCCACAAACAAGTACGCTAGGATAATGATAGCCTCTAACATGAAGGCTGGGGTTGGACTGCCGCTGTTCTTCGCTATAGGTTCCAGAGGATATTGTAGTGCGTGAACTTGACTAGAGTGACGGAGAAGCTTGGTTAACACCTTTAGTCAGGTGGCACAGTGAACGTCACACTTTTCGTTCCTGAAAGTTGGTACACAGGAGTCGGCTTGTTATGGGTTTGCATCCTGGGGAGGGTATGTAGTTCGGCAGGGGGGTGGGGGGAAGCATCCTCGATATAAGCCTAATGTGTACATTATTGGACTTGTGGAAATAGCCTAAGCTACTCTATCCTTTTGAGATGTACCTTATTGTCTCAATGGACGTACTCGAACATGGGCAGTATATATATACGGGCTGCCTGTCTGGTGTCAAAATGAATTATTAATAATGGAGAGTGGGTTAAACCAATGACGTGACCAGTGTTAATTGTAGTGGGATTGGCATTATCACCGCCTTGGGAATTTGACGTGTAATATTTAACATTTGATCTTTGTACATAGTTTTACAGATCTGTTGGAAGTAAGTTTTAGTTGGGACTGCTCGCCGACTCTGAATTTTTTCTGATAATTGAAATCGGTCATATTTAAATAACTGATGTAAAGTGATGACATGTGATAGTTACCAATAGGGAAGGTAACCTAATTATTATTATATATACAGTATATAATATAATTATATATTATATATATCTTACAAATCTTTATCCTTGCTAAAGATTCGTAAAGTATGTCCAGTGATTTGAGACAGATGCTTTATATGAATATAACCTGATTAGTTTATTAAAGCCCTAACCAGAAAAGTATTTTATGTAGTTGTAATGTTAGGTGGCTTAGGCTGGCAGACAAAAATAGTGAGGAGTAGGAGGATAGAGGGAAAGTTGGAGTGAGGGTTGAGGGAAGGGG